GTATGAAGTGTAGGGGTACAAACCTTATTTTGGGTACAGGGGGCACTTCCTTTTTCAAATCTCCTTTGAACAGGCCTCGGGGAAGCCCTGCAAACAGCAGCTCGTGGCATCAGAACTGGTATTTGGACCGGGCATCACTTTATGTCACCTTGCAGGGCACAGTTTCCAGAGCATGGGGATGTATCCTTTGAGGTGGTCCAAATATTATTTTGGGGTGCAGCCTGGCCCCAGTGTCTGCTTGTGTGATTGTCCTAGGGTCACTGCACTTTGGGGCAGCTGGCACGAGAACTGTGCTTTGGACCAGGGTACAGAATATGTCCCCTTGAAGGGGAGAGTCCTGTGAATGTGGGGGTATATGATATGTGGTGGTCCAGACCTTATTTTGGGGTTCAGAGCTTTTCAACTCACTCTCCTTAGTGTTTATGAATGACTACACGAATAAGGAATGAATAAGGAATGAATAAGGAAGTGCGAATAAGGAACCAAATTCAGCCTCCTCTTGATTGCCCTGGTGTATGACCTGCACTGGGAGATGGAAAGAGGGTGTGTGATTCTGTTGAATTTGATTGGTTGTACAGTGTTTTTTTTTTAAATGTCGCTTTGGCCACCGCAGCACAAGGACTTATATGATGCTACTGAAGTCAAGCTGTGGCAAGCATTTTGTGACTGGCTATACCTTCTGTGGCTAGGGCTGCCAAGTCTCCCCGGGGGCGAGGATTCCCCTGCCAAAAGGGCCCCCAATCTGCCGGTCCCAATCTGGCTGGTGGGGGAACTCCACCCCCGAAGTGGCCAGCTGACGTGCCCAGCATGACGCCGCCCGGCAGTGATGTATTCACACTGGGCACGTCGCCGGGCAATACCCTGAAAATTCTATGGTACCATAAGAGTTTTTAGGGCGATTGCTAGAGCATTGCCCTGTGACGTGCCCAGTGTGATTACGTCACTTCTGGGCGACGTCATCGGGGCGCGTGCACGAAACTCCCGGACCAGGACCGCCCCCTCCGCTATACCAGATAAGAGACTTGGCAACCCAATCTGTGACAGGCATTTTGTTGCTGTCCCCACCATGTCGTGTCAGAATTCCAAATGTGCCCGCAGGCTCAGAAAGGCTGGGGATCTCTGAACTACACTACTGAATATACTGTATTGCCTGCCTTTAGCACCTGAGCAGCAGGTATTATGTGTCTGAGAACTGACTGCAACGTAGACTCATGGACAGACACTGAAGGCATACAGGGACACTTTAGTTGTAAGTTTTTACTCACACACCCCAATTATTTTTCACTATATACGTTTTTAATGTTGGAGGCAGAGAGACCTCTTCTCTGAAACGAACTTTTTAATTTACACACAAACAAATAAGGATTTACTGGATCTAATAGTGAGCTTGGAAGCCTCAGGCTTACATAGATTTAACCACAACCAGGAGGATATTATTGCATATTCAGACAACTCCCCATAAAATATTGTAATTATAATCCTCCAGCTCACCCTGATGAGAACTGAGATATTAACTGTCTTCTAGAAGCACGGAATGCTGAGGGCAGTCAAACATCAGTTGGGAAGGCAGAAAGAAGAGGAAGAGGAGGAGGAAGACGACGATGACGACTGAGCAGACGAGTGATCAGCTTGCTAGAACCGCATGAAAATCGACAACTGTATGAAGGCAGGTATCTTATTTATTTACTCCATTTATACCCCCCCCAATCTTTCTCTCCACCCCGCCACTTCATCCTCACAACAGCCCCATGAGGTAGCTTAGGCTAACTGGTCGAGTGCCACCTATGAGAGAGTGGGGACTCAAACCTGGGTCTCCCACACCCGCAAAGCCTTTACTTACCTTAAAGTGTACCTGGAATGAGTAGGGGGGGGGAGCACCACAAGGTGTCTTCTTCCACAGCCACTAGCCCAACGCTCTTATTACTACACTGGCTCTCTGTCTGCATCTTCTGTTGTCAAATGGTAAGTCAGGCAATTATCACACCCCCACAGCCCTTTGTTAGCATGTTCCAGTCACAAATGTTAAAGGCTTTCTAGGAATATTAGGAACATTACAAGTGTTAAAGGTTTTCTAGGAACCAGAAACAAGGTGAAGAGGTGTGTCCTGGTGGGGGTGGGGGTGGGAGTACTCTGCGGGGTTAAAAAGGGTAAGCAACCATGCCAAGTGGTACAAATGGCATCTGACTTCATAACCACTGGCAGTCACATATACAACTTTCTATGAGGGAACAGGACTGTGCCATACACAGACTCTGCCAGTACTCCAACACCCACATACAAAATAGCTGGTAGCAGACACGTCTAAACTTTCACAGTTCACCTAATTATATCATTTATGGGGGGGGGAACTCACCCCAAAATCTTTTTGAGATTGACTCGCTAATCTAGGACTCGGCTAAGCGTAGTCATATGGCTTATTACATTTTTAAACATATAAACTGGTACTAACAGTTTATAATAAGCAACCAATGTAGTGTGTTAAATGTAAGTCACTGGATTACCACAACTGCTTATGTGAAAAAGCCACGCACACAAAAGAATAATGGCTTTTTAAAGATTAAATTAACACAGAATAACAATGGGGGGAATTGAAAATAATTATATTCACCATATAATTAAGAAGTTTTAATTTTTAGTTTTACATTAAAATGCTTGGGGGAACAAAAGATGGACACTTCCCAGAGAAGGCATGTATGAACACGGTGCCATGGCCTAGGAAAACCCAACTCTCCAGGCTAAAGAATGTGGCTATCCCAGTCCTATTTGAACAAGTTCCATGTTCAAGTGAATCCAACGTGGGAACCAAGATATTCCATAAATCACCATGAATCCATAAAGCTACATACACTTAAAAAGGAGAAAACAGCAACTATGGTGAACGAATCAGAAAATCAGCACCAATCTTTCTTGCTTGGCTTCACTAATTGGAATTATTTGTAAAAGACATACTAAACACAAAAAAGTTTATGTATAAATGTTAGTATCAGTAAAAAAACAACCCTGCTTATACAGCTTTGAGGATATTACTCTCTAACGAAAAGGTGGCTTAAGACCTTGCAGTCTGTAGAAACCAGGCTTCCAAGTATGGATCTCCCACTACAGCACTGGCCAACTAGAAACACATGCCCAGGGGTTTTGTGCCCCTTTCCCCCATTTGAAAAAAAGGTACAAATGGCATCTGACTTCATAACCACTGGCAGTCACATATACAACTTTCTATGAGGGAACAGGACTGTGCCATACACAGACTCTGCCAGTACTCCAACACCCACATACAAAATAGCTGGTAGCAGAAATATCTGAACTTTCACAGTTCACCTAATTATATCATTATGGGGGGGGGGAACTCACCCCAAAATCTTTTTGAGATTGACTCGCTAATCTAGGACTCGGCTAAGCGTAGTCATATGGCTTATTACATTTTTAAACATATAAACTGGTACTAACAGTTTATAATAAGCAACCAATGTAGTGTGTTAAATGTAAGTCACTGGATTACCACAACTGCTTATGTGAAAAAACCACACACACAAAAGAATAATGGCTTTTTAAAAGATTCAATTAACACAGAATAACAATGGGGGGAATTGAAAATAATTATATTCACCATATAATTAAGAAGTTTTAATTTTTAGTTTTACATTAAAATGCTTGGGGGAACAAGAGGTGGACACTTCCTTCCAGAGAAGGCATGTATGTACACGGTGCCATGACCTAGGAAAATCCAGGCTAAAGAATGTGGCTATCCCAGTCCTATTTGAACAAGTTCCATGTTCAAGTGAATTCAACGTGGGAACCAAGATATTCCATAAATCACCATGAAACCATAAAGCTACATACACTTAAAAGGAGAAAACAGCAACTATGGTGAACAAATCAGAAAATCAGCACCAATCTTTCTTGCTTGGCTTCACTAATTGGAATTATTTGTAAAAGACATACTAAACACAAAAAAGTTTATGTATAAATGTTAGTATCAGTAAAAAAACAACCCTGCTTATACAGCTTTGAGGATATTACTCTCTAACGAAAAGGTGGCTTAAGACCTTGCAGTCTGTAGAAACCAGGCTTCCAAGTATGGATCTCCCACTACAGCACTGGCCAACTAGAAACACATGCCCAGGGGTTTTGTGCCCCTTTCCCCCATTTGAAAAAAATATCAGGAAAGGAATGCTGTCTTTTGAGATCTTTTCTGGGTTTTCCTCAAGCTTGCCGATAACCCATCCCACCATGCAATGGAGGGCTGCTGCCTAAAACTCTGGCATGTCTTCTCACTTGCAGACCTGAGAAGAGGGGGGGGGGAGAGACTGGAGAGCTGTGCCGACCAGACAGAATGCAGAAGCATGTTCCGGCTGCCCTCCTAGTTGCCTAGCACTCCCCTTGGAGTTCTAAATTAGAGGGTGCTTCTGCATTACTGACTACACCTCTGGGTTATGCAGCAGAGATTGGCATGGGTGGAGTGGAGGGACTCTTCCGGCCAACATGTGTGTGTACACAGGTACATGCACAAATGTATTAATTACCATGTACGAGACAAGATCATGCACAGGGGGGCTCAAAAATCTTGCCATCCTGAACCGGCAATTCATTCCATAAAAGGGGATTTACACGCTGCTGCACTCAGAGTTGCAGGTAAGGTTCCCAGTCAGATTCGGAAGCACTGATCAACTTTTACAAGGGACGAACGGGAAAATGAATTCTGTTGCCCATTAACTCCAAGCAGTCATCAGTACACTAGCTTCTGACAGCAGCCACCTTCGGATGGTGCTGCTGAGTGTACATTTCTCTGGAACAAGACCACTTGCATTTATAAAATGTTTACAAAAAGGGGAAAAAACCCACCATTATTCACTTTAAATAAACAATGGCAAACTATCCCCTCCCGATCTCTCCAAGTCTATTGGAGCACCCAATGTGACAATTTTTTTTTGATCTCCTCAATTCATGTACTACGAGCAACCTGCAGGAAAATAAAAAACCTTTACGTAAAATGCAGCTTGTTACTGATGTGTGTTCAGACTGCTGGCAAGAGGGCTGCCGCCTTTTGTCAAACCCAAATTAAACAGAATGGAGTTGAGGTTAATGCATAAAAAGGCATGCTCGGGATGTGCTGTCCTCTGTAGTTCTTGAATCATCAGGTGAATAGTAAACAGTTCAAACATCTTCTTATTACTCCTGTAAAACATTTCCCCAGAAATATTTGTAAAATTAAGAACATCAATTTGAGTATAGTACAGAATGGCAAAAACTTCAGTTGGAGGGAGAGCTAAACAACTGCTTGAAATTAAAAATGTTTGTCATTCTCTTTTTTAAAAATCATGTAAAAGGTATGGCTCTATCTGTCCTGTGTTATTCAGGTTTGGAATATAAATGAATGGATGGCCAACAAAAATTAACAATAATATTACTGTTAAGTAAAGATTGTTTCAAGGCATAATTCAGTGACATATGTATCATTACTATTTGCTATCATGGGAGAGGCAATGGAGAAAACTCCCCACAACAGACACCCTGTGAGGTAGGTGGGGCTGAGAGAGCTCTTGACAGAAACTGCTCTTTTTCAAGAACAGCTCTTATCAGAACTACTGCTTGCCCAAGGTCATCCAGCCAGGTGCAAGTGGAGGCGTGGGGAATCAAACCCGGTTCTCCCAGATTAGAGTCCGCGCACTTAACCACTACACCAAACTACACCACAAAAAAGACTGAAAGGCCGGATATCAACAAAAGAGGAATTGAAGGTAGGCAGCCCTTAAGTAGAAAATGCTGTACGCTTAGCAGGATAGTAATGGGTAAAGACTTTGATTCCATTTTTTTTAATATAAAAGGAACACTGAAGGCAGTGCTATCTGGAATGACTTTTTAAAAATTACTTAATTTCAATAAAAGTGCTTAGGGATTAACTGACGCTTTCAGGGAACCACACTCCTTTGTCTAATACTGGCTTGAATTCTGAGTAGGGGTATGTATTCGGTCAAGGCGGATAAAGCCCGAAAAATACCTTACTGGTATGGCTGAACCCCAAAACATTCAGGATTGTTCAGGACTGCTGGATACCTGGATTTGAAGGGTGTTTAAAAGGACTGCAGTCCTTTTAAACACTTTCCAGCTGAAGCCACAGCTTGGAGAAGGCATTTAAAGGGACGCAAAAGGCATTTAAAGAATATAAGACTTACTTAATTTTCGAGAGCTTTTGTAGTAGAATGCTGAGTTTTTCCAGAACCGGTATATCTAATTTAGAGTTTCGAAGTAGCACTGAACAAGTACGGAAAAAGGACTCACTGCTGCACGCTTCTAGGAACTGGTGCAGAAACCCTGTAAAAGGAAGTAATCGATTATGATTAACAAATTTGGTTAAACGAGATAGTAAAATTATAAATGTAAAGTATGTGGTATCACACCCAATAACCGCAACTACATCAAGCTAACATTCCAGAGTCCAGCTTCAGCACCAATATCACTAATGATGAACTACTCACTAACAAGAATGCTTTCACATTGTTTCATTCTTGACTGATAATCAACAAGACATCTAAGACCCTGCAAGGACCAAAGAACCAGGATAAAACTTCCTGAACTCTCCCAGGTGGCTTGAAATCACCTTAGAAAAGCAGATTTAGTCTTCTTCTTTTGTAATTTCAGCTGCTGAATGCTAGCCTCCTCATCCAGAAGAAGGGTCCTCCAAGTGACCGAGGAAGAACCTATGACCATTCTTGCTGCTCTGTCTGTTCTAAACTTGCCATAATATGTGGATGCCCAAGGCTATGAAATACAGGTAACCCTTTGAGCAATACCACTGCATAGATTATTCAAATCATCTAGCCCTCTGGTCCTCCTGAACATGGTTTCAAGATCTGGTCAGACGATGCCCTGCCTGTTTCATGGCACCTTCCCCTTATCAAGGATTGGTTGCCTAGTTATCTTTCACCCGCAGCCTGAAGTCCCCTAAAATTGTGCATTCAAAAGTCTGATTTAAGTGTGTGAATAAGTCCTTGCAGTCAAAGTAAGTTTCACGAGGTGGCCTTCTACTGAGGGCACAAATATAAGGGGGTGAAAACTGTTTAATCCCATGTGATGAGAAGGTGCGGCCCCTCTAGGGGATGCTCCATTAAATTTTCCACTATGCCTCAAACTATTGCTAAGCTTCCCTTTTTCGAACACCCTTTGATCTCTTGGCTACGTGTTCACTGCATGGATTCATCGTTAATTATTTCATGGGGGCTGGGAAACGTCCTCTGTCTACCAAGGTCCTGAATTCAAACCTCACTCCTTGGTTAAAGGGCTCTGTATCATCTGTCAGACCCTACTGTTATATCCCAATGCTTTCTCTTTCCAATCAGATAGAGAGACCAGTTCCATTCTCTGTCTTGTACAACCTGGAGTTTGCCTAGAGCAGGGGTGGCCAGACTTGCTTAACGTAAGAGCCACACAGAATACACGTCAGATGTTTGAGAGCCGCAAGGCATGAACAAATATTACGTTTTTATTGAAAAATACGCAGATTTGCTTGTTATTAACATTAAATGAGACTGCCAAAAATAAAAAAATAAAAGGGGTTAAAAACAGATATTGATAATTATTTGATAATATTTGTAGGCGGGGGGTGGGAGTGGGCTTTGAGAATGCATTTAAAGTTGCTTTCTTTCTTTGCTTTCCCTCACCTCAAGCCCACCCAGGGAGGGGAAAACTGGCTGGGGAAAGGAAGACCGATTGGGGAGGCACGCCTTCCCTTCGCTTCCCCAGCCGCCCTACTGGGAGCTACACAATATCTGTGAAAGAGCCGCATGTGGCCTCTGAGCCACAGTTTGGCCATCCTTGGCCTAGAGTGAGCATGGTAAGGTCTGGATATGAAATGTGGAATTTCTCAAAAGGGAAATTATTAGAAAGGGGGGGGGGGCGGTTCTTACTCAGCTGTGGAAGACCAAAAAAGATGTTTCACAGTGGAGAAAAAAATACTCGTCTTAACTGAAAAACATACCTACTCCTCTGTTTTAGAGGCAAAGAAGTGAGCACTGAAAAAGGTAATACAGAAACATCATTACAACACCCACCAACACACACTATTTTGTGTGACAAATCCAGTCTTCAAGTCAAATTTAAAAACAAATGGGACAGTCACAAGTCTCTCTCCTCTTCAGTGACTGTCTACCTCCACTTGTCCAAGCCCTCTTGCTTACACTTTCTTATCCCTGTGTTTTTATGCATAAGGCACTTGAATTTAAGAATGATTGAATAGTAGGAGGAGAAAGAGAGGGAGGGTCAATGGACCTCTTCAGGATTGCCAGGTTCGACCATTGCACCGGAGGAGGAGGGACTTTCCGGGAGTGGGGAGGAGTGTCACAATGTGTGTATGTAAACAGGAAGTGATGGCTTCAAGTCATAGAGTTTTGTCCAAAACCCAGAGCGTCGCCCCCCAGATCCCCAATGTGCCTATGTCACTTCCAGTTTTCATAGGCACGTTGTGATGATTTCCAAGTTTCTGCAGGTAAGTGGGGGCAATTTGTTTTTTTTTGGGGGGGGGGAGTGCCCGAAAGCAGGAGACTTCTGCCTGCTCCAGGCAGTCTGGCAACCCCTCCTCCACGCTTTGAATGGCTCAAGGTGTTAGGGTTGGGTTTAGAGAACTGGATCTGCTGCATTGAGCGAGAGCTTCCTAGGCAAGTGACCCACTCTGCTAGCATTAGGTTACTAACTCATCAAGTTTTTCAAAGCTATTTTTGCTAAAGTAATTACTACACCAAAAGTGAATTTTTCAAATGTAATGATATTGGGTGATCATCAGATCCATCTGTTCTGGCATTTGGCTCACAATTGATGGAGGCCAGAGGGCTGGGGAAAACAAGAGAACATATCACAGAGAATGTCATTGGTAGGGACATTTCTGAATCAGCAGTTACAAAGATCTTCCCTTGAAAATAACTGCACTAATTGGTCTGTCTTTACTATGTGTTTACGCCAACCACAATGCAGCAAAAAAAGGGGATGTGGTTTCTCTATACAATCTCGCCATTTGGAATACCAGTCTCAACAGTTGCTGTTAACAAAATGTCAGTTAATGGAAACAAGGAACAACATGAAATACATAGTTCCACTATTAAATGAACCAGTCACTATGGAAAATGAAGAGAAACTTGTACACCAATGCTATCCAGTAAACAGGAGGGCTGGGTATCGATTCCACCAGTTGCAACCTTACCGAATTCCTACATATCCAGTACAGAGATGCCTGATAAACATGGTGTCCTATGACTATTTCTAATTTTAAATTGTGCCCATTCTGCCATACCACCTGCCAAACACTTCCCTCTACCCATAAAACGGATGCACTTTTTCCGCATCTGTCATACATTTAATCCCTTGGGCAAAAGAGTACAATCTTATAAACCCTTATCCCAAATGAACCGGGGGGGGGGGGACACTCAGAAATTTGCTTACATTGAAACCAATGGAAAATAAAAACATGCAATGAAATATATAAGTTAAGCTTTCTGAAAAGAAAAAAAATTGCACCTCCAACTTCTAAGTCATGCTTAAAATGCAGCCACTAGAATCACAAATATCAAATGAAAAATTTAACATAGTGTAATAAGAACTGGTGCATGTGAAGAATTATGACTTTCAATTACTTTGCTTTTCTAGTGATAGGGAAGCAGAGTCTACGATATGCCTTCACAAAAAACTCTAGGTTTCTAGGTGGTCATATTCCTTGAGTATCCCAGTGCCTGCTCCCCGTATCCTACCCTCAACGTAAAACACAGATCTGGTTTCTATTTTGATTACAGAATTCTGGAGCACAACAGTTTAAGGGCAAAGTGGTGCTAATTCTGCTGCTCCACCATATCCTGTCATTTCTCAACAATGCCAGGTGTACCAACACCATTGCTCTCTATATATAGTAAAGGTAAAGGTTCCCTTGCTCGAAAGCCAGTCAAATCCGACTCTAGGGTTGCGGTGCTCATCTCCGTTTCAAAGCCGAAGAGCCAGCGCTGGCCGAAGACGTTTCCGTGGTCATGTGGCCGGCATGACTAAAAACCAAGGCGCATGGAATGCTGTTACCTTCCCACTGAAGTGGTACCTATTTATCTACTTGCAATTTCTTGCTTTCGAACTGCTAGGTTGGCAGGAGCTGGAACTAGAGATGGGAGCTCACTCCATCATGCGGCACCCGGGTCTCGAACTGCTGAACTACTGACCTTCCACAGCCTGCTGTTCAGTGTCTTAACCACTTGAGCTTTGCTACCACAAGTGTAAAGAGCATAAATTATTAGCTGGGGGGGGGGATTAAAAAACACTGAAACTACACACTTCAAAGTTAGCAAAAAAAACCCCTAGGTATTAATCTGGATATTAGGATATCACGTATTCTCATCCAGTTAGCATTAGTTGCTGCTCCAAATGGTATTACCGTTATAGGCAAAAGTCACAATACAAACAGGGATTTCAAAGCTTACCCTCAACAAAACTTTGCAAACGTCTGAACAATGTTCTTTTACAAAACATAAACATAAATGGTAAGGTTGCAAATAGTTTCAATTGTTAAAATATTCCACAGACATTAAAGCACCTTGCCTGATCCTGATTTAACAAGAAATAAAGGGGCACCCAATTGTATAAAGCCAAAAAGACTAATGCAGACTTGGGGTGTATCAACAGACGCATAACAATCAAATCACAAGTTGCCATAGTCCTGCTGTATACCGCATTGGTCAGGCCACATCTGGAGCACTGTGTGCAGTTCTGGAGGCCTCACTTCAAAAAGGATGTGGACAGAATGGAGTGGGTGCAGAAGAGAGTGATGAGGATGATCAGGGGCCTGGAGACCAAGCCCTATGAGGAAAGGCTGAGGGACTTGGGAATGTTATTATATTATCACAACTCCACATGAAAGACCTGTTTATTTTACAGCCCCACTAGCATAAAGGGGAAGTTGTCTGGTATATATGCTGAAGCTTGATAGGGGAGGAATCACCCATGTAGAAATTTTATAGCTCTGTTCTTAACAGTGGAAGAAACTGTTTGAAAGGGCTGCTTGGTCCAAATGGAAGACCAAATTTCAAACTGGAGAGTATTGCCAATATCTGCATTTGAAGCCAGGTGTAGGGCATCTACAGTGTCACAGCACCATAGGTTAAATAAATCATAGATGAGGGACAGAAAGACTAACCCTCTTAATTTGCAGGAGCTTGGACAAATGAATGTTTCAGTGTTATGTATCAGCTTGGGACTTGCTGGGCACGCAGGCTCTGAAAGGAAACAGCTAACTAGGTGAATCTGGAACCAGTCAGTTTCTATATTGTGGAATTTGGTCACAATAAGCT